GCGGCTTTCTCACGCCGCTGGAAGATTGCCGCTCCAGGCAACTACAGCCAGCCGTACATGTCTACCGCGATCGATAACGGCCGTGTGTTCTATACACGCATCGTGTCGGGTAACCGTTGGGAATTGGTTTCGGTGTCCGAGGACAGCGGCCAGATTGCTTGGGTGGTGGATATGGGTACGCTGTCCCGGGTGAACTCGCCAGCCGTCGGCAATGGGCGCGTGTACGTGACGTCGACTGGCCATCAAGACTCGTTCTTGTGGGTGTATGACCAAGCGAGCGGTGCATTGGTCCAAAAACTGAAAATGACCTCGCAATGGAGTCGGTATTCGGCGCCTACCGTGTATGGCACCGAGGTGTATTCCATCGATGGTTACCACGGCGGCTTGAGCAAGTACACCGACCGCTCCAGCAGCTTTAATTGGAGCGTTCCGGCAACCATTCAGGATGGCTGGGCTCCTTCTACGAATGGACGCTTTGCTTACACCTACAGCACGCCAGACAACCACCTCTTGGCCTTCGATGTGGCCGATGGCCGTCTTGCTTTCTCGATAGGTGAACCGTACAACTTCAGCACCTATTTCACGGCGGCCCCGGTGGTGTTGGCTGATGATCAACTCGGAATCGTGGTGTCGGGCAGCCTTATGGCTTTTGACTTGGCCACCCGCAAGCGCGCTTGGGTCATGAGCATGGCGTCATCAGGCATCCCCGCGGTTGGCAATGGCACCGTGTATGCATTTGGCGCGAACGGTACGGTGCTTGAGGCGCACGATCCCAAGACAGGGGATCTGCTTTGGACCTCGCAGAATCTCGGGACGGAAAGCTACTCCTCCGTGATCGTGACGCGGAATCTTGCTTTTGTGAGCTCTCGATCCAAGACGCTGGCAATTGACTTGGGTACGCGCAAGGTAGTGTGGAGTTATCCATTGGGTGGAAACCTGGCCATTTCCGCGCGCGGTGTGCTCACCATCTTGAGCGATGTGGGCGCGCTGGCCGCCGTCAATCTTCGCTAGTGTGTCCTCTGGCCTTGACGCGGAGAATCGCCGGACCTTTCGGCAACTGTGCAATGGCTGCTCCGGTTTGAACATCTTCGGCCTGCGGCGCTCGCAACGCACACCAAGCCTTGGCCAAGGGCTGTCCATGGACGGGATGTGCATCTGATCTGTCTGTGAGCCGGGCAGGTGGACCGTGACCCCACGCGAAAGGGCCTTGAGTGATTTCAAGGCCCTTTTCTCTTTCTGGCGAAGAGTGTGTGGTGCATTCGTGAGCAGCGGTACGTGCTAGGCGCCAGGCCGTCTTCAGACGGCTCTCGGAGGATGCCAGACCAAGGCTCGGCGCGCTTTTTTAAGGAGAGGACCCATTCACATCTGTCAGCGGCTCTTTTGCCAGGGGTATACGTCATTAGGGTTACCACCAGATGGTTGATGGATGTGGCCTGTCCATCATGAATGGATATTTGTCTGTTTGAATCAAAAACTCCCTTGCCTGATACTGCCTCTGTCGATCGACTGTCTCGCCTGTCCCTGAGCACCGACGATGTCGCGCCAGTGCACCGGCAGGTTTACTGGCGCGAGCGTTTCGGCCCGGTATGGGGTGACATCGACATCGTGCCGTTGCATGGAGCGCCGTTCTTTGCCCGGCTGCGCAGCACCCGATTTGGCGAGTTGCGGTTCAACCAGGTCCAGTTTGCGGGCCATCGCATGTCGCGTAGCCGTCGTCCGGACGATGCCTTCTATTCACTGGCCTTTCCTGTAGCGGGCAGGGCGCTGACGTCCCTGGGCACAACCACGGTCACGCTGGAGCCTGGCAACGTTTACCTGCTGGACAACGGTGTGGATGGCGACCTGACGCCGCTGCCGGACTACAGCACCTTCAACGTGCAGATTCCTTCGCGGCTGATCGATCCACGGTTGCGCCAGCACCGCACCGTGTTCAGCGCGCCGCTTCACAAGTCAGGTGGGCGGGCCCTGATGCTGTACCGATACATCCGCAATCTGCACCGGAGCCTGGAACACCTGGACGATGCCGATGCTGGTTTCTACGCGCGCCAGGTGTGTGACCTGATTGGCTTTCTCATGGCCGGCGAAGGAGCGGTGTGCGAGTCTGACAGCAGCACGGTGGCCGCGCACCGTCGCAATGTGCTGGCTTTCATTGAGCAGCACCATGCAGACGAGCGCTTGACCCCCGCGCGCATCGCGGCTGGGTGCGGCATGTCGGAGCGGTACCTTTACCGTATCGTGCGGGGCAGCGGCCAGACGGTGATGGAGCATGTGCAACACATCCGCCTGGCCCATGCGCGGGTGTCGTTGGAAAACCCGCTGCTGCGAGGGCTGTCGGTGGCCGAGATTGGCTACCGCAGCGGTTTTGCCTCCGCCTCCGAGTTTTCGCGCGCTTTCAAACGCGAATTCGGCCAACCACCGAGCCAGTTTCTCAAAAGCCAGCACGTACGCTGACGCCGCCGCTTTGCCGTCGTGCGGTCTGGTGCGGTCTGGAGCGGTCTGGTGCGGCCACGCGCACGCATTTGTGCAGCAGCGCGCAAGCCCCAGGCCCTGGGTACGCAAAGAATCGTTTTCATCCAGAACGACTCTTTCCCATGCCCCATGCACCGACCTGCTGGCACCGCCACCCCCTCTGCTGCCGCGCAAGCCCACAACCTGTCACGCGTGGTGCAGCGCTTGCGAGAAGACGTTGATCGCGCAGAGATTGCGGGCGCGGTGTTGGCTGTGGCCCGGGGCGACCAACTGGCCTGCCTGGAAGCGATTGGCGTCCTCGACGCGACTTCACGCACGCCCATGCCCGTGGATGCGGTGTTCCCGATTGCATCGATGACCAAGCCCGTCACCTCGGCCTGTGTCCTCATGCTGGCTGAGCAAGGGCGCCTGAATCTGGATGACCCGCTGTCGCGATACGTGCCCGCCGCGCGCGATTGGCAGGTGGCTGTGGAGCGTGACAACGGGTTGTCTTTTGAGCCCTTGCAGCGACAGCTCACGTTGTACGACCTGCTGCGGCATGTGGGCGGGCTGGTCTACGGGCCGTTTGGCCATGCCCAGGTGCATCGCCTCTGGCGCGAGGCGGGTCTGCTCGACCCGCTGCAGACCAAT